TTTCGCCTTTTACTAAAGGTTGCCGGAGGTCGGACAGAATAACATGTGCAGCTGTCCAATCTCTCTGCCCTTAGCTCAACAGGAAAAGATATCGGCCCTTCAAGTGCTTGGGGTCACGGTCCCGAGGTCCCGCTGTGCAAACTCTGCAGCGCTGAATTTCAGAGGATGAAACAACAGCAGCATTCAGCTAGATGTGGCAATCCACGTCTGGAACGACCCAGAGAAGATTGGCTTGCATCCTACAAAAGGATTTCGCACGCACGCAAAACCTAATGAGCTGTTTGGGCCTGCCACGCCCCATGTTGCAGGCCTTTCAGGGCTGTTGACTCTTTTGCTGGGCAGCAGAAATGGAATTAGAAGGTTGTAGCTAGTGGCAGCGTAAGGTCCAAGCCCGTGTTGCGAACCTGTGGCATCCCTCTGGCAATCTTTTCAGTCTCCTGCTCTTTAGAGCACAAACTCAGAACATGTTTTCAATTTTGTGGGCGGAGTGGAAACGGAAGATCAGCGAACGGAAGGCCTGCTTTTCAGCAGGGACCTAAGACGAACCTTGTGCATCCGTGTGCCTGGAAAGGGAATTCACCTATCCCGCGTCCCTTCTGACGGAAGCATCCACGATTCCGCCAGGATAGCCTTGAGCATCTTATCGGGATGTACCATCCCGTCAAGATGCGCTTCTCTAAACAATCTTTCCCCATTATATTTTGATAGCTCACGTGCTTCTCAACTTGACACAGATTGAGGCAAGACTGATGCTGACAACCCCTCTGCGTTTGTGCCCAGCTTGTTCTTTTTGTTGCCTTCTCTCGCCCCTCAGCTGCCAGCACTTGCGCACTGCTGGCCTGGGATGCCGGGGGTCGTGCTGCAGGGCAGACTGCCTCCACAAAACCCGCACATAACGGGATCTTCTAAAGCTGGGGGTCTGGGTCCGGATGGGTTCCGGAGCCACTACTTCAAGGCTGGCAGCCGGGACAGTTCTCAGAGATGAACGGGCGCAGCTAGATGGATCCATTGCGCAAGGGTTTGAAGAGCAGGCTGGGAGGACGCAGCCTGCAGCATGCTGAGCATTGCTGAGCATTGCTGAGCCATACGCGTCTGGTCCCGACAGCGATGCAGAATCACAGGTTTTCCAACTGCCAAGATGTCTCGTAGAAATCGGTCCGAAGCATCTCTGCCGGTTCTTGCAATGTTGCCAGTTTCACAGCCGTCAAAGTTACACGGCAAGCGCAAATGCCCTCGATTCAAAAGGCAACGCTGCAATCATGTTTGTCATGGGACTTTTTGAATCATAACCTTCAAGTACTCCGAGACTGTCCATGCCCGACAGCGCCTGTAGTCGGAGCTGGTTGTATAAAAACTTTCCACCTGCGATGGAAGTCGAGGCAAGGCTTTGACGTTGCAGATCAGCTGAAGTGGACCCTGCTCAGTAGCTTTGTAGGTCCTTCGCCACAATGGCATTCCTGAGTCACCACCCCAGTCGTAGAATACCTTGTTTGGCAGAATGCGTACCGAACTGTTCCGGAGCAGCTCTTCGGCCCTTGAGGTCCAGCATTCTCTCCATACGGGTGGGAAGTGCGGCGATATCTTACAAGCTTCAAGTTCCTCCGTCTGTTCCGCATACGTTTGTAGGTACTCGTCGACAAGTTCAAGTTTCACAGCTGGACAGGTCTGTGCCCTGGACTGCTCATGGGCTTCAAGATGTTAAAATGCCACAGGCCATTGAAGTTCCCGACCAAGCTCGAGGACTTTGGATGTTCGCGTAGGTTGCAGCGGTCCGGATGGTTTCATAGCTACTCGCTGTGCAAGGAGTGCTCCTCTGTGAAGGCCGCTCAAGAGGGAACACGTGCATGCACAGTGCAACAAGTCAGCGGATTCAGTCCATGCGGTGCACTAGGCGTTCCGGGGTATGCAGGTGGAAATTCTTGACGTCGCGGGAACTGCGCGTGTATCGTGCAGCGCATCAACGTGCGCTTGGTTCAGAACTGAAATCCCTGCAAATGAAGCTGCTTGTCTTAGCACGTGAGGTCGGAGTACAGTATCCCTCTAGAGTCGCCGCTCGAGGGAGAGGGCAGCACTGGGATGGAGGCACCTCAGAAGAGGACCATTTTGTATCACGACATCTCAAGACCAGGTGGGCCTGCGGCTAAGCGGCGCAGGCGCGGAGGAAGTTCCTGGTGCCTGTGGTAGCTTAAGCATGTTTGAGCCGATGGCTGATAGCTGCAACAGTATGGTGAACAAGGAACATAAAGGAATGCAAGAAATCTCAAAAGTAAAAGACATGCCTCTTGCAGTCAGCGTGTCCTCTCAGGTGCGGATGCCTCGCACAGCGCAGCGGAGGTCCACTCCCTTCAAATGATTTCAAATGCGCACGAAGTCATAGATCCACCATAAGCAGAGTCGTTTGGAAGTCGAAATCGTAATCATGTAATGCATCTGGAGGAGTTGGAAAAGAGAAGGGAGGAGGATGCCAAATCCTATTTGGAGGCTCCCATTCACACTGGCAGAGTTGCAGTGGCTTCGTATCTGCAATGCTCCTGCTCAGAAACATGGCCTGACTTCATTCATGCAGTTCCTCATCCAAAGCCTGATGAAGGTCGGACCGTGGAAAGCTGATGGTTTTCGCATTCATCTTGTGGTTGTTCGTGCCGTCGATTCCAGGACAAGCCAGAAGATCCGTGAGACGCTGAGCCAAAGCAGCACTTTCATTGCTGCACGCTGGGCAGCTGTCAGGTACAAGTTCCTTCAAAGGCAAGTGACCAAGAAGATGATGGAACGCTCCCCAGTGCTGAAGTCGTAGCTGATGTGGCGTGACATCAACTGCACTTTAAAGATTGGGCTCCATGTGTCAGATCGCCGAACTATCCAGCGGCGGTTCAGCAGCCAGGCTCCTAGTAGCGCTTTGCGACCAAGCGGAGCGGACAAGCTGCACTTGCCAAGAGATCAACACGGGAACACTAAGGATCAGAAGCTTGAGGAGGTGCTGTCGAAGCTGAGCTCCGAGGCATGTGGACTATCAGCTAATATGAAGTTTGCAATGCAAAGTTCAATGTTGCGCGCTGTTTCCTTGGCAAGGTGACAGACTGTGTACCTGCTGAGCAGTTGCACGACCTGCAGAAGCAGGCGGAGGAAGTAGGCCGGGGTCTCCACGACGTGCTAGCGACATGAGACTGCACATATGCTTGAAACTTGTTGCAACGGAAAGCCAATCAAGGCTTTGGTAGAGACTCCCGGTGTTGCAGGCGAGCAGCTGCGGAAAGACAACAAGGAACTGAGAGAAACGCTGGACATGCTGAAGAGCAGGTCACCACGTGGTGCAAAACGGGAACCATCGGGAACAATGTTCAAGATCACATTCATGTGAGGATATGATTTGGGTAGGTATCGGTCCCTGATAGCGGAGAACTCCGAGCTTGCCCAACAGGCTCAAGCTGACGCACATGAAGCACTCTCTACTCGGTAGGCTCAACTGTGTCTTCAGCATGCTTTGCGCGCCAGGTAGGGGAGGCTGGAGAAGGCCATTTGATAGTCTGACTTTGCGGTACAAGTGGGAGCTGGCAGTATTCATGAATCGCAGGCAGCGACCTGGTCTCCATGCAGGCAAAGATAGCTCTGAACATGTGGCTGACAGTGGCTGTTTGCTTGAAGGACGATGTCGGCAAGATGGTCAGCGAAAATGCTCTGCTAGTGTCCGAGCTTACCAGCAACTGACCTGCATCGAGGTTCTGACAGAAGATAAGCTTGGCAATGCAGGCGGATCCAACGTCAGCATACCTCTGACCGCGAAAAAGTCCTGCTTGAGACAGCTTAGTCGAACCAGCACAGGACATGTCAAATGAATGCCAAGTTTTTCATCTTTTTGTCGTCCAGCATGCTTCGATTGCGCCTAACACGCTGATAGCCATCTAGAGTGGATATTCGGGCGATGTATGCCTGATGGCCTTCAAGGATTCTTTGATATCCTTTGCTTTTTGACGCCCAAAGCTTGAATTGCAGTGCTCATCGCTGATCCATCAAGAAGGTTTGCAAGAAACAGGTAGCAAATATGTTAAAAAGGGAAGTGTAAAGTTTCTTCGGTGTGAGTTGAAATTGAAGATATGCTTCAGCCGACTGTGACACCGTTCGAAGCAGGGGCACATGTTTGGCACATTTAAGAGTTCCAAAGCACCTTTAATTTAGTGATGCCTTCAAGATCTCCAAAAACGCATCTCAAAGGGTAAGCTCGCGAGTCCCACCTGAAATTCTAGCAATTCTAGCAACGGTATGACTGTATAACTTCTCGGCGGCTTTGCCCAAATCAAATTAATTGTTGTTGCAGCTGGGTGTCAATTCCAGCAGAAGCAAGGGGACATCTCAGCTTCGAAAATCGTATCAGACACACCTGTTGTGCTATCATGATCGCTGCATCAGAATGCACATATGTTGAGTTACAAGACTCGTCGCATTATGTGACTGAGACGCATGCCCATTTGCGACACAGGGACGGTTGGCAGTTCACTGCTTAGTGAGTCAACTTGTCTCCCCCGAAAGGCTGTTCTTGTGTGCGAAAGATGGTGCAATAAGTAAGCGCTCGTTCTTCTGGCTGTGCGACATATTTCTTTCCTGCCAAGGTATGCAAGCCAAGATTGTTTCGATTCAGGATGAGATTGAGACCTTACAGGGGCCGCCAGCCTCCTGATCAGCTAGGACATCTACGGAGCTCACCGTCTCACTTTACGCATGATGCTGGCAAGCAGTGTACGGCATACAGTGCTTCAAAATGAACCTTGCAGCAATGTGGAAACAGTGCCAGCGGTGTTCGGCGTCAAAGCAGCATTGGCCGGGAAGATGCTTGAGAGGCCAAGGGTTTATTCTACAGCGCGGCCCATGCTGTGATCGAAGAGCGATCACTTTCTCACCCATGCAGTGAAACTGGATGGATGTTGCTGTGCAGCACTGCGTTCCCACAAATCCGCCGCCTCATGCGAAAAGAGCTGAGAGATGTTATGAGTCTTTCCTGAGTTGGGGGTGGACAATTGGGTTCTTATGGTTGGACTCAGTCTGGCTCCTAAACAAACCAAGCTTGACATGTACGCAAAGTAAGAAAAGAACAGTCGTGAAGCCAGTGGTGTTACGTTGCCAAGGCATCCTCGTCCTCGCCTCTCCTCTCTTCAGATGATCCAAGGATCCAAACAGACCTTTTGCCTTTAGTTGAAGATAAAGCGATGCGCTCGATGCCGCAGCTTGGCCAGAGGCAAAGGCCAAGCCAATTCCCGCTGGATTCCTGCAAAGTGTCATTGAAACAGGCAATGTACAAGAGGAACAAGAGCTGCTGCTGCTGCTGAGGATGAGGCACAGCTGGGTACTGCATGTCCCGTCTTCACGTGCATATTCGTTGAAGGGCAAAGCCAATCAGAGGCTGCCCTGTTCAGAATGTTTGAGATATCATGATGTTTGACTTGTTGGGCTAGTGTTAACAATGCAAAGCATCTTCCATGCGGCAATGTTGGTATCGTGCGGGCCATCGCAGGCAGGCCCCGTACGAAGCCTCACCCATTTTGCAACCGTTTCATGAAAAGTATTTGCTAGTGGCGAGGGTTGTGATGGCCAGGCTTTGCATCGTTTCACCAGAAGAGGAGTACCCGGGGAAGGGGTTGGGGGAGGGCAGTGACGCCTGTCAGAGCAGTGCGACTTGCCTAGCTAAGGTTTCTCAGATCTTTAGCATATTTTGTGTTCAGGACTGTTACAAAGAAATGCTGACAAGATCGGTTTTACCATGTTCTGCCGCTGCATCCCATTCCGAAGTGGAGGAAGGTTGGCGGGCGTGGTGAGTTCACAGCAAGCTGGAAGAGTGCTCCAAGCAGAAAATGCTTTCAGTCGACTCCGTTGGCCTTCTTCGCACGGGCTCCCAAAGCCTGCTACCGCTCTGGGCCACCATCACGAAATCCATCAAACCGTGGACATAGTCGAAGATCCACGATTCTCTTCACTTCTTACACGGTAAGCTCTTCTTTCACGCTGCCAGGTGCTTTGCCTGGAATTTTGCTGCTGAATTGAGGAATGTCTGATTACAGAATATGATAGAATATGAATTATGCCAGAATCCAAGAACTTGGTTTTTACAGCCTACACCTTAACAACCGAACGGACCTGTGTAAGGCTTCCGGAACTTGCGACGAAGGCCAATTGCGTCGACTGGAAGCATTTCTGCTTGGAGCACATTTCCAGCTTGCTTGAGTCACAACGCCTGCCAGCAGTGGTGCAATCTATCTTGCTTTTCGTCGAAACACGAAACATGTTACACCCTTGCAAAAACTTACATTCTGCAATCGAGCTCCTTCAACAAACATGCGCTCCTGCTGCGCAGTAGTGAACGGAAACGTTACCACGTGTTTGATACCCTCTCAGGACTAATTGTTCACGGCTACATCTTTTTTTGGGAGTCCATCCACTAGATGGGTGTATCTTGAAACAGGCTTTGGCACGTTGATGGCAAGAACAGTCCATTGCCCAATCCCAAAGAACGTTGTCATGGGCAGTTCGTGAGATACTTTGGGCAGCTCCAGTTCTCAAGCCACCGGGGCATGCTGATGCAACTCTTACGCAGCGTCACTAGCCACACCAAGCAACTGCTGCGTAGCAAACGGTGTGGGTTTCGCTTAGTTCCAGCCTGGCTTCCCCTGACGCGAATAGAAAGGAAGCCTGAGGTTGAACAGGTCCAACGATAAGTGCTCGGCATATTTAAGATTTCATACCATAAGGGAAAAGTGCATCACAACAATGGACCGACATCAAAGGAGCATACAAAACACATCGCAAGTTTGCATCACATCAGCACCCCTTTGTTGTTGGTTTAAAAGTGGGAGGTCCTGATGTACTTCAGGCTGGTCAGTTGCCAGGCATGGGGTGTCCGACCTTGGGTGGGGAAAGGGTTGAGATTTGAACACATTGTGGCGAAATTGGCAGACGTACTATTTCAATGTGGTCAGTCATTCACATCGGAACAGAGAAAATAAAGATCACAAGCAGATCGCAGCCTGATGGCGTCAAAAAAATAAATGTAAAGAAGGACTTTGTGGAAGCAAGACACACCCAAAACAACCCAAACACAACCAGATCCAAACCCAACACACCAAGGTTCTTCTCTGTCAAACGTTAACAGAAGAGGTGAGACAGCAAATAAATCCACTTTGCAACGCACGTCAGCGACAAGACACTCTGCACAATTCTGTACGCTGGAAGAAGCGACGCCATCAGAAAAGGGACTCAGGCAAGAGTCAGCGTCTACTTCCCGGAACTGCAGACTAGGGACTCACAAAAGCTAAAAACTGCGATGCCCAGACGGTAAAGCAATCACGTATGGTACACGGCAATTCGTGCAGTCTCAATGCGATTGTACTGCACTGCCCGTGGGTGGGTGCCGTCCGACCCCCTACCCAGAGCGTGCTTGGCAGATTGGCAACCGAAGTTCGGTTACTGTGAATCCTGGGATTGCCTTTGGTGGCATTGACTTGCCGTCGGCTCCGTCGCCAATGTGACTCTGTCCACCGCCATGCTGGCGGTGGAGTTTCGACTCTGGCCGGTATGCCGTGGACGCGTACCGGTAGGCGAAGATTCCCACCACTGACTGAAGGCTGGCTACAGCTGTTGGACGTCGCTCCTGGTTGAAAGCGTAAATGCTTGTGTTGTTGCCGCAGAGGAGAAGTATCTTCTGTCCTCCCTGTTAACAGGCGGCATCCACAACCCTTGTTTTAAGGGATGCCGTCCATGCCAGTGAATCCTCAATCGGGAGTACAGGGTTATCAGCGGTGCGCTGCCTTCCTTGATCTGGTCCTTCAATGACATGTGGTGGAAAAATCAGAAAGAAGTCAAGGCATGCATCTAACTGGTCGCTGCCAGGCTCCAACCGGTGGAAGGCAAGGTCTGTAACTACGCATTCTTGTAAGAAGATCACACGTATCAGACAGCTGTGAGCGGACTAAATGCTTCTGCGTTTTTTCTGCTCTATCTTAGAGCTCTCCATTTGGGGCCTTTTTTCTCGTGCTATCTCAGCTCCATCAGAGGCCTTTTTTCGTGGCTCTATCTCCTCTTAAGCTCCCTTTTAACTCTCTTAAGTCTCTCTTTTAAGTCTCTCAAGTCCCTCCTTAAGTCCCCTTTAAGCGCCTTTGGGGGAGAGGAGGGGGGGCAATGAAGGGTCGAAGGCTTCAAGAGGGACTTGAAGGAGACTTGAAGGGAGGCTTGAAGGGAAGCTTCAAGGGGGACTTCAAGGGAGACTTCAAGGGAACTTCAAGGGTTGAACCCTTCAAGCCCTCCTGCAGCTGGCTGCCAAGGTGGTTGAGAGTGCAGGCGTTGAACATGTTCCCAGCTGGCATGTCGTAGCGATGGATGGATGTACCTTGCTTGGCATCGAGAAGCCCAGAACCTAACTCCAACACCCTGCACTCCTCGACCCTGAAGCTTGACCTCTCTCAAGAGCTGCCTGGAGCTTTGTCTTCTTTGGCAGGGCCTGGCAGGCAAGGGGAGTGGGTTGTGGGACGCAGAGTTGCTGCGGGCGAATCTTGCACTTTCAAGGACATTCTAGATTGAGCTGCCAGAGGCTTCCATGTGCATTGTTCCTCCTACACTTGTCAGCGATTCCTGGACCTACGAGTGGGGGGCGGCATCACGACCCCGCCCCAGAAGAGGGCGCTGACCGTATCAAACGGCCCCAAAAGTGATGGCTTCAGTTTGTT